AGTTAAACAATTTAAGGATGCCCAGGATTAACAATGTGCAAATAACAACTACCATAGTGCAATGCACATACAACTGCCAGCCTGATGTGCTTAACACTCATTCATAGGCTAACTCACCAGTGAGCAGAATGCAGTGGTTTCTATAGGAACAATAAAGAAAATAACCTTTCACAAACAGGTATTTCATAACTGCTTACAATTGTAAGGAAGACATTTAAACTATTATTGGCAGTCACAGGCTGTTGTAAACTAAACACCACTCTCACTGACAGAACACCTCACTGAGTGATTGAACTCATATGTCTAACTTTCAGGTTTCTCTTTTCAGCCGCAGACCCCATGTTGCCTCTATGTGCGTCGCTAAGTTCCTCGTACTACTTGTGTACTTTAAAGCCGCACGGCATCGTTTACAATTTGCGAGCGATTTTTCAACTTGTCCGTCTTTCTTGAAAAATTCGAAGTGTTGTCAAACGTTTGATTTGTAGGTATTTTTCGGTGCGCTGTGTTTCTCTTTCTCCTCGACTTCCATGTGTGTTGATAACTGAGACTCTCGGCCTCCGTAGTGGCGAAGCAAAGATCAAAGATCGTCTCTGCTGAGTGCTGACAAGATGAGGGGATATTATATGAATGAATCGTTTTTTTACCGATGCAAAGACGCTACAATCGATGCATCGCGAGTTCAACCCAAACTGTAGCCGATGTGCACTCTTTCAACCGGTGCATATTGAACGTTTATGCCGGTGCACCGATGCAAATCGGTGAATCTTAACATCCCTAACACACACAGACACATACATACTAACACACACTCACCTACCTTTGGTGACCCTTACCTGTCACACTAGGGGAGGGAAATGGATCTGGGGTGAAATGTTTACCATGCATTCTTTTTCAATTGAGAACACATGCATTGATGTAATTGTGGCCCTACGTTGATCATGCTAAAATGTACGTTGATTAATCATACATAAAAATCAATTTATATTACATCTGAGAGCCACAAATACATTTGGAACCGCTGTCAATGGGTTTTATAGCATTGAGTATCTTGTTTGCATAATTGAGCTACAGTTCTTTCAGAAGCATGAAGAGAGCCTTTCACAGAAGGTGAAATAGGTGAATCCCCCTGGATATCTGAATGTTACGTTATTCCATATCACTGACTACAGTCAAAGAGACCTGTCAGAATTAGGATAAAGTCAGCTTATTCTTAAAGGCACCATTCCCTTTAATGCTTACAGTGATAACTGAAGGTTACTCGCTCAATGGAGCTGCCATGATAATTGGCATTTAGTGATGAAATGCCTCGCACAATGAATGCTAAAAGGGGAACTAATTACTGCCTATCCAAGTGTCAATAGCGTCTTCTGCTCTCTTCTAAATGTCAGTTTTACATTGAAATGCTGGAGGCATGGCTGCCAAGCACTAATGGCTGGTCAATGACAGCACTAGCTTCGGAACACACTCTAAGATAGGATATGCCGAACATTGTGACAGCTCTCCTTTCCATGCTGCTGCTTGTCCTTAAACCTGCAATAAGGAAATGTTCACATATTGAAACCTTTCGAATGATCACCTATCATTTTTACTTTAAAGGGCTAAAGCTGATTACCTGTGCCTCCAGATGAAAGCATTCCATAATTGTTATAATCCTGCATGTCTGACTGTCACCGTTGCTGCTCTGTTAGGTTTGTCTCCAGTTTGACCCTAACACAGGGCTGTAACAGGTCCTGATACTCATTACCAGTTGCAACACGGGTTCGCAACCACTGTGGTCCTGGTGATGGAAGGTCAGGGCTAATCACAGTAACGTAGCAATCATGTCAGCTGAGGGAGAAGTGTTGAATGTCAGGGCTCATTATGCTACCAATGACATTGAAGGCAAGTTTTGCAATTGCATGATTACTCAGAGGGAGCGTGGGTAACTTTAGCTGCTTTGAGTTCAATATACCAATCATTAGGTAACCCAAGAGAGTGCAACAGAGACATGGAGGGTCTAAATAAAGACGTTTCAGACATATACTTCAGGTTGTTTTTACTCTATACAATATCCCAGACATTTTTACAGGGCCAAGGTTGTGGTAAATGTACTGTTGTGTTCACTCTTTCTGCAAAACATTAGCAGTTTACTGAACATTGTACCATTCAGGGATTGTTCGTCAATGCAATGTGAGAAACTTTTATGTTTGCAAAAGCTACAGCATCTCAGATGTTAAGATCTAATGGGTGTTGACAGGTTTAAGTATAGTATTATAATCTCCAACAACATATGAGTTGGCTTGTTTGTAACTGCCATCAGATTGCTTTTCCATGTTGTATTGACTCGCATGCAGGCGACATGGCTTGCGGGTAAATAAAGAACAAGGCTAAAAAAACATGGCATTCGTGCAAACAGACTGCTAATGTTTTCAATCAGGATGGAAGAAGACTCCCACGGGGTGTTTGTCTGTTGATACGAGCAGAAGCAAATGACAGGGCCACCTGATGCAGTCCAATGCTTCATGTCCCAATCAATTAGTAATGGCTCTGCAATTATGAGTCGCATAGAAAGTGACTGATGGAGGTTAAGTGTTACGTTACATGTCAATTGATAATGGAGTGGGTTTTTAAATAGTGTTTTAATTCATTCTGATGTAATGATCAGCTAGGGCCTGTCCGCTGACAAAGTATTAAAGAATAACTTCACTCTAATCACAGCAAAAAAACATTTAAACTCAGAAGGACCTGAGATTGGCGTGTTGTTATGCAAATAGTTAAAGGCGCGTATATGTAATCATAATGCCCCTACTTTACGGCGCTTAATTGCATGTGTTACACACATAACATACACACAAAATAAATAAAACTCAAGTGAGCTACGTCCTCACCCTAGCCACTCTGCCTTAGTTACATAAAAGATTAAAGTACCATGCCATGCACGGTTCAGCATAAATTCGGCATTGAAAATCGAAGGTAAGACCTTGAGGCAGTGTGCCTGTATGGATACCGACATATCCTACTTCACTGACTATTAAAACACGGAAAATTGAAGCAACATCATAAAATATAAAGTTCTATCTTGCCGCTTCATCAAATGTTATTTTAGTCATGAACATATAAACTCCATCTTTTTTATATAAATCAATTGTGTTTCCTTGCTGGCGGCCCCTTTAAACCAAAGTATTGGACAAATAATATAGTTGACCTTAGGTCGCCATAAAAGTGATGAAGTGATACTGAAGGGGACATTAATGTTTGAGCCAAATGTCATGCCAAGCTAAAGTTAACATCATGTTTGCCTATGTTGCAAGACTTAGGTCTATACATTCTTCAAAGCCAATTCAAGCTAGAATTAGAGTAAAATATTTGACTTGCTTTTCTTTAGCGGATGCTTTTGGGTCTGTTGAAAGAGGGTTTGTTTAAAGCCGCCATATTTAGTTTTGGGGGTTTTCCCTTTCCTGTTATAGAAGGTTTTGTGCATATAAATGGTCTGCAAAGGCTACAATCCCCAAATTCCCTCCAGAGGGAGTTTCTGCAGGGAGTTCTGCAGCCTTATCTATAGCTTGAATCCTTTCCTTTACCTGCACTGCCTGTAACCTGCAGAGCAGCTTGAGAGACCTGGGAGATATTTGAGATTACTTTGAATGTTAACTGTACTGCCTGAGGGAATATGGATGCCTAACAGCAGCCAACCTATTATCAAACTGTCATCTATTACTTTCAATTGAGTTTGTTTTAGGACTAAAGTGATTTCTATTATCATATTGTGCAATGTGTCTTATTTAGGTCAGCATTATATTTCACAATGTTTGAGCTATTGGAATATTTTTTTCAATGTACAGGAGACAGACATTCTCCTGTCCTCCTGTTTTCACAGTGAAGCATGTTTTTCACAGTATGGTGGTGCTTGACATGTCATTGACAATTGCTCTTTTAACCCTGATTCTTATTTACAGTAACCTTTTCATAAACTAACTCAACCAGTTTGTTGTTAACACAAATCTCTGTTTAAGGATCACCAGTGCCACACCCTCTTGGTATTCTATCACAGCGATGTATGATGGCACAATAATACAGAGAGCTCAGCTTTTGTCGTCTTGCACTGTATGATTTGAACTAAATGTACACCCTTCTCATTTGATTGGCTTAGAATTGAGGAGACATCTGATTGGCTATACTGTAGATAGAAAAAATTACAAGTACGAATCGGGTGAGCGTTAGGGGAGTCTAAAAAAAAACACACACGAATGCACAGCGATCCATGCACAGAAAGCGGTTTGTGTTTGCAGGTGCAGCGGTTTTAAACGGAAAACAAATATGTGTGGATCAAAAATACACATGTAAAACTTTTTTCTGTATTTAGATTTTATTTACATGTATATGAAACGAAACACAAATCTGTGTGTGCATTGAAAAACAGAAGTGTGGATCCGGAAATACAAGTGTGACTCCTTTTGTGTGCATGTGTGTATTATGAGACTGTTCTGAGCCCATACAAGTGCAATGAACCATTTTACAGTCCATATAATGCTTGTTGCCTTGGTCTATGCAGACTGCTGCCTGGTAATATAACAGGCTAGACAACATAGCAGTCTTGCTAAACAATCACATTTCACAAGACACATGACATGACAACAACCAGATTTGACTGAATAACTAACCGGACAGTAACGGGTGTGTCTGTTTCACAATATACAGTATACTTTGTAGGAATAAAAAATTAAGCTTCATATGAATGCCATTTCTTCATGCACATATAAATAAAAATAATAACGTACAAATGGAGTAATGAAGGCATTATGTTTACTATAAGGTCTGCAGATAGAAGTGAACTTAAAGAATTGAAAGATTTAGATTAAGCTTAATCCCTCTTTCTCCTTATTATTGTTGGACAAAATGAACCTCAAGGGTGTGTGTGATAGGTGGGGCAGAGCAACCATTTTAGGTAATGCTCCTCCCTTCATTCCTACACACCCCCGCCCACACCAGAGGCAGCATGCAGGATAAAAAGGAGGCAGAACATTGCATCTCAGTCATTCTCTTTGAGGCAAGCAGATCTCCTGAGCAATCGTCACCATGAGTTATTCCGAGCACGGGTCCCGCAAGAGTGGAGGATTTGGTGGAGCATATGGTGGGATGAGAGGATCTAACAGTGTGAGCGGTGCAAGTGGCTACAGATCACGCTTCATCAGTAACACGAGCGGTTTTGGGGGTGCTTTTTCCAGCTCCAGTGCCTCTCGCATTATGAAGTCCACTGATATTTACAGCACTGCACAAAAGAGCTTTTCACTTGGAGGTGGCTTTGCCAGTGAAGCTGGAGGCGGAGGTGAAGGTGGCTTTGACGCTTCAGCCAATCAGAAGGCTATGAGGAACCTGAACGACCGTCTGGCCACCTACCTGGATAAGGTGCGAAAACTTGAGCAGGCCAACGCTGAGCTGGAGCTCAAGATCCGCCAGTTCTTGGAGAGTAAGTCCTCCCCCACTGCCAGAGACTACTCAGCTTTTGAGGCCACCATCGCTGATCTGCAGGGAAAGGTATGTCACATGACTTCTGATTCCTTAGTAAGTCACAATGTAAATTATCTCCAGATGAATATGTTGGAAATGTACATTGTCTACTCCCAAAGCACATGATTTTGGAGAGAAATAATTGTGTCGAATGAAATCTGTCTTCATCACACAGATCCAGGAAGCCACCAGAATCAATGGAAGCATCTATCTGTCTATTGACAATGCAAAAGTGGCATCAGACGACTGCAAAATCAAGTAAGTATCCAGTTCAGAGACAGAATTTTCTAGGACATAGTTGGATGGAAAATCTTTGTAATTTAACTGAAGCAATATGTGCATGGTGAATATTTTTGCTTTCGAGGTGTAGATGTCTGATTTATTGCTGCCTCAAAGGTGGGAGAATGAGCTAGACATGCGTCAATTACGGGAGGATGACATCGCCGGTCTGACGAGAGTGTTGGATGAGCTGACCAGATCAGACCTGGAGATGCAGATTGAAGGCCTCAGGGAGGAGCTGATCTTCCTCAAGAAGAACCATGAGGAGGTGGGTAGCGGATGATTGACGTTCATCTGAATGAGCTTTCATTCAATTTGCTAGAATGAAGATTGAAATGTACTCAAACAACTTTACCAAACTCTTATTCAACAGGAATTAGCACTCATGAGAAACCAGATAACTGGACAGATCAACGTTGAGGTGGACGCAGGGAGACAACCAGACCTGTCCCTCGTTATGTCAGAAATCCGTGAGCAGTATGAGGCTGTGGCCGCCAAGAATGCGAAAGACCTTGAAGCCTGGTACCAAACAAAGGTAAGACTAGATAATAGAGTGTTACATATGTCACATATGTAGTTCTACCTTACATTGAGGTTCTCCCGTGTCTGTTATAGTCGGAGGATCTGAACAAGGAGGTGGCAGCCAGCACAGAAGTTCTCCAAACAACAAAGACAGAAATTACTGAGCTACGTCGAACACTGCAGGGCCTGGATATCGAGCTACAGTCCCAACTCAGCATGGTAAATGATAATGATCTACGGCAAATTTAATGAAAAATATGATGCACCCAAAATATTTTACTACTAATTCACTCTTTCTCCTCTCCCTTCCTGCTCTCTTTAACTTCCACCCACAGAAAGGGTCACTTGAAGGCACTTTAGCTGAGACAGGGGGATGGTATTCCATGCAGTTACAAAGCCTACAGAGCCAAGTGACGGCGCTGGAGCAACAGCTAACGCAAATGCGTGCTGAGACGGAACGCCAGGGCCAAGAATACCAAATGTTGCTCGACATCAAGACACGGCTGGAGATGGAGATCGCAGAATACAGAAGGCTGTTGGACGGAGAGGGCGCGTAAGTAGTCCACAAAGAACAATTATTTCCTTTCATTTTACACGAATAACAATGTCTGTAAACTGAAGAATTGTTATCATATTTAATGGAAGCTCTGTGATTCTTCCCCTTGCAGCAGTGCCAGTGGTTCAGCAGCAGCAGCAGAGGAATATAAGGACAACCAGCTGGTCTCCAAATCTACCGGTAGCACCTGATCTGTCTCGCACAGAAAAAGCAACACATTGGGCCACACCTCAGGACCGCCATCACAACACATGATCCCAACACATTCTTTGCATAGACATGTGAATGCAATAAAAGGCTGCCAGTTTGCTGACTAAAATGTTGTCCTGTGTCTTAATTCAAAATAATGTCTTTAGAGTGGCGTTTTTCTTAAAGGTCTGGTGAAAATAAATATCAAGCTTTAGTTATTTGAGTCAGCGAGGCACTTCGTACTCAGACTTGAATAGGCCCACTTTGAGAACTCATTCCCGCTCACATGAAAAGTGGATAGGGGTGTGTGACACAGTAAATGTGTCGCAGAGATATAGTGAAATGTTTTTTTGGTACAACTACGACACATGCCATTGCAGAGCACATGTTATTAATCAATTGTTCAGCAGTGGGGTTAGAATATGTGTAAATGCTATCTTATAAAGCTGAAGATTACGTTTAGTTTGAGTACAAATACACCAGTTTGCAGGAGTTTTCAATTAAAAGTATGTACACTTCATTCACACTAACCCGAGAACCACAGCCACACGTTGCACTGCTGCCACACACACAGGCAACATAAATCACTTTCACAACATAAACCACAAGTATTTTATTTTTTGTCAGAGCAGAGAGTGAGCATAGCCTCTGTTTGTTGCGTATCACAATTGTGTGTCCCATCAATGCACTCATCTACAACTAAAGGGCAGGTTGATAACACCAAGGAAGCACATTGAGGCCAGAGATGCAACAATGCCCTGCTTCACACTCAGTACTGCAGCTACAGTCTGAGATAATAATGAGCAGCAGGAAGAAAAAAGTGCTGTTGTTTTTCTAAGGAATTATTCTCATTCAATTGCATGAGAAGATAAAATGTGTGTAATTAAAGTGCAATAGTTCAATTATGATACAAACCTTCTTTACATTCATCAAGGTATGCAGCGTGTAAAGACTACGACTGATTTAGTTATTTTAGAAGGATTTTAATAGACCTTGCAGGCAATGAAAATGTAGTTTTTTGTATTTGCATGCATTTTTTTTTCAAAAAGATTCCCTAATCTTTACAGCCATAGACTGTATAATGTATAAGCGGTGGTAAGAGTGATGGTTGGTTTGTGGAATACAGTTTTGAAACCTTGAGTTGGGAGTTTTGGCCTTTGCCGTCTTGCTCTTCTGGAACAAGATGTACTATAAGAGGGGGGAAGAACAATGACACAAAATAATTTAGCTAAAAAAATGTGTCTATTAATCTTTATGACATGAAAGAACGCTGTGAAGGGAATAACCGGCCTAGCAACATGTCAATCACAGGATAGCCCCACCCTAGCCTAGAGCATACACTGCTATATCGTCTCATTTTCTCTAAATGGGATCATCATTTACTAACTGATCATAAAGCTGTGTTGAGGAAGGCTTGAATTTTGCAATTGAGAACATATAAATATTTACTGAGGTATTAAATCAAGTTAGAATTGGGCTGATTTTGTCATAGACCTCTATACAATAAGACTTAGTGACCGACTTCTAGACAAACAGACCAGCAATGTACAACCTGTTGGCAGATAGAGAGAATGCAAGTTTATGGCCCTATTGCATTGCCTTCATTTTTTCAAACTGGAGGTTGTCTCTTGGTAAAGGTCCAGTTTATGACAGGATACTGCTAAAACGAATACATGCTAACGTTAGATAACATACACCCAACAAGTCCTCCAACTCATACGACCAAATAGGTCAATTGTTCAAGCGCTTATTACGACCTATAATCACGTTTTAAAGTTTTCGACCTCTAGTGCTCCCGTTGACTGCAAACGCTCCGGTGGGTCGTATATTCACAAATAACCCTCTCTGGAAAATCCTAAATTGTAGGATAGTTTGGCCATTAAAATGCTTTTTGATTAGATTTCTAGCGAGAAGTGTATATGGGTCATTCCAGAATTGGAGGACAATTCATGTCCCCCATATAAAAAATCAAATAATCCATGTCCAAAAAGCTAAAACATGCACTTGTTGTGTTAAACATACTTGTCTTGAGACAAAATGTATATCAAGTTATAGAAAAAGTGATTTCAAAATATTATTTAAATGATCAAATAGCTCTCGAACACCCCCTAAAATTGCTTTTTTTCTCTTGTCCCCGCTTCTTGGTGACCAACTTGCATGTCAAATATAACATTTAAAATAGGGATTTTATTTACTTTTTTTGGTATTATTCTATTGATATATGCCTCTTGTAATGGTCAAATCAATTTGTTAAATCATAAAGATATTTTAAATAATAGTAATTTTGCACAGAAGGTGTGTCCCTCAACATGCGTTCAACCCTGTTACCCAAACCTTTTTAGATTGGCAGAGGAAGTGAAAAAACTGTAAGTCAAATGACACACAGGAAGTGACATCAGCAAGCCATGTGCTAGTGCCATGGGTAGACCAAAGGTAAGTCCTCTCTTTTATTTTTCATATTTTTACAATCTTTTCAGTCTTAAAAGATTGTGGCACTCCAACCCACTCAACCCTGTTACTCATATTATCAGAATAAAGCATATTAATTTCAAAGTTATCTTTCTTTCATTAAATATCCAAGTTTGTCCTTGCCTTGAAAGTAGCATTACATGCTACATCTAGCAATAATTCCTGAGGTTAAAGCTAACATTAGCATTGATTTTCAACCCTGTTACTTTCAACCCTGTTACTTTAATTACAGTAACAGGGTTGCATTACAGTAACAGGGTTGCATTTCCTTCCGTTCACTCTATAATCTACTTTAACATTACATGTGTTTGTATATTTTAGCATGTTTTACATGTATTATTTTCACAGGCTATAAATTAACTTTTTATGTATTGCCGCTGGATAGTCTAGGGTTAGGGTTAGTTAACCCTAGCCTAACCCTAACCCTAGGGTTACCTAACCCTAACCCTTGGGATTAAATATTACACATCTGCCGTAGTTCTCTATTTATAGAGCCCTGATTAGAAGACCTTTGGACAAACTGGAAGAACTGCCACCAAAACTGAATATATAACGTGGATCATAAATATATCAGCAATTAAACAACATCTTCAATTTCTCTTCACACAATACGTCTCCTTGCAGTATCAATAGTAAGTTGACTGACTTTTTTATTTAATCCAATTGGTAGATAGGCTGTATTTACACCATAACGGTGCACAGCTGATAGAAAAGGACTTTTTTTAAAGATATTACTGATTTTCTTTTAATAAAAGAATGTAAATACTGAGTTGAGAGAATAGTCAGGGGTTTTTGGTGATGGGAGACACATATATGGATTCAGAATTTCAATAGCTTACCATTAAATGACGGATATACCTCAGATATTAATGGGTAGAAGTGTCCTACACTAATAATACAAAGTTATTATGGCATTGTATGCTGTGTGTTATTTGTAACATCTTCAGAAACTACCTTTCCAACTCCTCACCAGTTGAGTGTTACAGGTCTATACAGGTTCATGGTACAATGCATAAGCTTCAAATCGAGAGACTGAAACTGTATTTTTCTTTACCATTCAGTTTTGATTTCACAATAAAGTTAATAGTAATATTATGTTTGATATTATTATGTTTTAACTAGACCACTGGCTCATGTTAAGACCATCTTTTCTGTCGGTTTGGTGTTACAAATATCAAAACAATATATGTGTGGATAACAAGATAAATCCGTCAAAAACTAAACTGGAAACTTATACTGGATAATTTATTGTATTAACACTGTAAACTTGACCATTTTTTAATCCGCACCGCCTGGTGGTTAAAGCACGTTATTGCATTTTTTGTTGAATATGTTATATTTGATGAAAAAAATAAAATATTAAGGGAAAGTAGAAGGTCAATGATCGAAATATAGAAAAAAAAAAAGAAAAAAAATAGAAAATATCAAGAAGACACTCTAGTGATCTCTACAATAAAACAGTTTAGTGCAGGACGTCCAAAAGATATTAATAGGAGGATGTGCAAAACAGACAAACTAATAAGGCTTTATTCAAACATTAAAGAATACTTTAAGTTAAGTTCTTCTTTTGAATAAGAAAAACACTTTGGGGGTATCAACAGATAAATATTAAGCCTGACTAAGTTAACGTCTAATATATTGCATAGTTTATTTTGGCACTTGACAATCACCTTCCCTGAATTTCACTCAGGTGTAACTAAAGTCTGATTTAAGGGTTGTTTATATTTCACATCATTAATCAGAATCTGCAAAGTAACTAAAATAAATGTAGTGGAGTAAAAATACCAGGTTAACCTCTGAATTGTAGTGGAGTAGAATTACAAAGTAACAATACATTGCATGATGTACATGCTGCTGTAACAAAAACATTTCCCAACTTGGGATCAATAAAGTATATCTTATCTTAAGATGATCGATGGCTAGTGCCATATTTGCAAAATGTGCCTCTGAACCTTGACAAGCGCATGTTTCAGGCTTATCAATTAACAACAGGAGGGGTCACAGACATAAGACCAGCTGTTAAATAAAGCTCTTCTGACCTTAGCTGTCATGTGGGTATATTAATGCTGCCCATTATGGACACAAGCAATTTTCACCCATTTATTAATTATATGTTTTAAATGTGATAACACCAATGAGTTTCCCATGCCCTAAACCTCCAGGGATGTACACAGTTTAATACTGGCAACTTCTAATTATGGGAAATACGAAAACGTGTTTTAAAACTACAATTCCCAGTAGAGACGTGCCATAAAACGTAGTGTAGTGTCTTCGGCCATCCTGAACTCCGAAAAAACTATTTGTTTCTCCGAATCGAAGGTTAAAAACACAAAAGCATTGTACACCATTTAAACCAATCAATGTTGTGTAATTAACAAGGATAAACTGATGTTTAGTGGATGAGTACTGCAGATATCACTGTAAAATTATTTGACAGTGAGGGGAATACTTCCGGTTTTATTAGGAACACTTTGAGACCGGAAATACTCTTTTCACCCCGTGAGGGTTGACGCCAACTTAACATTGACGCTGCCGTCAATAGAAATGCATAGGGGAAAGACGTAGTATATACACGTTCTCCTGGCGAGACCTCAAATCATCTTTGTAATATCTATCAAACCATAGATCCTACACATCCACTGGACGTGGATTCTAAA